AGGGTGAGACAGGTCACAGCCTGTGTCCCTGGGAGGCCGGCAGCCCACCCTCCTGCACCCCACACCTCCACACCCCAGGCGCCGCTGGCTGCCAAGGCCCCGTGACACCGCTGGCCCCTGGGCTCCTGGGGCCGGGCGGGCAGGACCCCCCCAGGCTGGCCTGGGGGTAGAGCCCACTGTGGCCCCCACCCCTGCCCGGCCCGCCACCCCGACGGCCCAGTCCACTCGCAGCAGACGGGAGTAGGGTGCCCCAAGACCTCAGGCCTGCACCCCAGCCCCAGGGGCTGCTTCCCCCACAGAGACCCGCGCCCTGGGGTCTCCTGGCCCGGCCACCCATGTCCCTACCCGCTCTGGGCTCCTCCGTGGGAGGTGGCCCACCCCGGACTGTGCAGCAGCTCCGTCTGGGACACTCGGGCCCAGTGGGCTGACCAGACCCCCCCAGGCTCCGAGTCCCGGGGCCTGTGCCCGCCCACGACCCATGGACGCCGACGGCCACCGCGTGTCCCACCTGTCCACACCATACACGTAGACCACAGCGAACATCTCGCAGAAGGCGATGACCAGCAGGGGGATGGAGCCAGCGTAGCTGTCCAGCAGAGAGAGCCAGTACTGGCCAGAGTTGAGCGTGAAGATGATGGCCAGGAGGTAGGTGCCCAGGCAGATGAGGCCTGAGGGTGGACAGCGGCGCTGCAGACTCGGCCGCTGCGGCCGGCCCCCGCGAGCCCCCACCCCAGCCTACCTGTCAGCAGCTCCTTGGGCCACTTCTTGGGGATGACGTTGAGGTCCTGCAGGGGCACGACCACCCCCTCCATGTTCCCGAACATGGACGACAGCCCCAGGCAGAAGAGCATGATGAAGAACAGCACGGCCCAGAGCGGGGCCACCGGCATCTTGGTGATGGCCTCGGTGAAGACGATGAAGGCCAGGCCGGTGCCCTCCACTCCCTGTGCGGGGCAGGTGGTCAGCGGCGCCTGCCCGCTGGCTGCAGCCCGGCCCACGTGCTGACCTTGCTGGCCGCCCAAGCGCAGGATCTCGCCTTTCAGCCCAGTTGCTGGGGAAGAAGGCCCCGCACAGGCCTGGAGCCCACGGTGGGGCCCCGGGGGCACG